TGTGTGTGTGTGTGTGTGTGTGTGTGTGTGTGTGTGTGTTAGGCAGGCTATAAACTGACCTCTCTTCATAGGTGTCCTTCCGTCTTCATGGACTTCCCGGACAGTGAGCTGCTTGGGAACGTTTTCCCTGGGTAGGCACTAGGGAGCTGCTTTATGTGTGTGTATGAGACATAAACGTTTGTGGTCAAACACACTCCTGTAGTCATCTGCTAACATAGATTATTCCTTTTAACATCTCTAGAGCTTGACCAAGGGTTTCTGTTTACTAACTTCATCCCTTTATAACGAGAGGTCTGGATGTCACTGGAACGTCTGTAAAAGTTAGAAAGCTACAATTGCTGTTTCATAAGTCTCTAAATCTCAATTTTGTGTCGGTGAACTAGTTCTTCTATAGACGGGAATCTTTTTTTTTGCAGTTTCTACTTCACTTCTAAGCTCACGGTCTAACTTTTCTGTATCAGTATGCAAAATATTTTCACACTTTGGAAGGAAAGTGGTCACTTTCTCTCCTATTCATTTCGTTTCCCCATCTTCCAGTTTTCTCTTTTTCCCCTCATAGAAGTGCTATGAATGGAGTGTTTTGTTTTGTGGTTTGTTTTGCTTCATCTGTATGTTAAACAGTGTGGAGGACATTGTTTCTGATGAAAACTGAGACTCATGTCACACATGTGACCCTTTTTATGGCCCGATTAAGAAAAAAGTGTCTACAGGAACTTTCAATGTGTCACAAAAATACTATTTCAACCCAAAATATATTGAATATAGTTTTTCATTTTCAACAAATATAAAAGCATACAAATCATTAAGTAGTATTCTAAATATTGTCACCTGTTAGAAATTAAAATTATATAATGCTGATTACAAAATTATAAATACTGGCTATTTTTATCAAAAAAACAACCATATTAACAGTAACACTAGTTACAACAATACAACAGTTTTAGTGTAATATTAACAGAGGCTGTTGATAGATGTTAAGACGTTGTCTCCAGGGCATTCTGGGTGTTTCATAACCTGGATGTGGCAAGAGAGGGGAGAAAACTGACCAACAACCACACAACTGACCTCACTATATGGAGCACATCCACTCATAACTCTCGTCACTGTTAATACATACACACATTATACTGTATTTTTTAATCAATAAGTTCTATATTACCTGAGGCTCTGTTGTTCATAGAACTAAAACATTTTTTTTTGTCATATTATTTTCACTTTGTGATTTATGTTTTGCTTGTAAAAAGGTTTCAGAATACACTGCTACTTCTGAATGGAAAATTCTAAATGGAAAAATATGCTGCTTTTTTTTTTTGCAAATGGTGTAGTTTGACATCTGCCAACAGGGGCTAACTGAACAATGCTAACCAAACTTCAGTGTCTGCAAGAATATTCTCTGCACCCTTTTGTTCTCAGTATTCTGAATTCACATTTTCATTGTTAGGATGATCAAATCAAAAGATTCAACAGTAACTGACAGCTTTTATACTCATAGAATAGACCTTTACTGGTACTAACTATTTCCCCGGATGGTTTGCAGCTGTCTAACCAAATTCACATTTTGTGAGACTCCGGGTTAATGAACCAGCCAAGATCTGAACAAATATAGTGTCAAAATGAGAGATATTCTTTCCCTGTGTGGTAAAATAGGACCATATCATCCAGCTTTTGCTTGAGATGCTGGAAGGTAGTCGGGACTTTTGGTTATCCAGGATCAAGTTCTCGGCTTAAACTTTTATTAGCAATCTTATCAAAGTGCTCTTTCATCTTAGACAATGAGTTCTCCAGATTGGTCCTGGTAATGATACTGGATTGTGAAAGTGTCTTACAACGTCTGTTATGGCTAGAACTGATTATTGCTTTGCAAACTGTACTGTAATGCTTCCTAAAAACTTGTACCATTTCTCATACTGCAAACATAAACAGAATGTAACTCTTCAATATAATATGTGCCCGATAAAGTTTTTAAGAGTGATAATATTGTTTTTGGGCAGCCTGCAACTTGATGTGTAATTTGTCCCTCTACTGATTTGAATTACTCTAAACAAACCAAAATCAGAGCAAAAAAAAACATTTATTTTAGTATCGCCATTGAAATCTTGTGGAATCACCTCTAGATAGCAAATAAATACACACATCAAGGTATTGATTCTATAAAATCAACAAAGCCTTGTTTAATTTACCAGCAACCTGACCTACTAGACATGATCAACAACTAGGAAATGCCTTTGAGTAATCTGAAAACACTAAGGATTGATACATTTGTATCATTTGATTAGTTTGATGTGCCGTTCGTGAGTGCGTAACTTACCCACAATATCTGGAACTCTTGTCATTCCCGTTGCCGCTGCATCAAACTTCTGGACCACTGCTTGTGTTTTTAATACAGACAGAACTAGGCTTGATTGAGACTTCAGGTTCTCTTAAGTTAAGTTTATCACTTCCTATGCTTGTCTCAACACAAGCAAGAAATAGTGTAGAAATACTGCTTTACCAAAATAACAAAGTGTGAACAAATAGGCACAGGCAAACTTTGACCCCTGGTAAATCATTCCCCAGGGTAAGTCTAATGGGCAGCCAAGCAGAAAGCCATTGACTAGGTCAGATAGAAATGTATGTCAGCATGTTTCGTTGTTAATGCCATTCAAAAGTAGCTGTGTGTTCTCACAAAGTTTTTTTTTTTTTAAACAACACATGAATGTAATTTTATTATAGTACTTTTCCCATGTTCTAATAGAGTGATCAATCACAGCATTTACGGCTCAGGTTATTGGTTCCAAACCTTTGTGACGACATTGAAGCCCACTGACTTCCATTATATGGACAAAAAGACACCAAGGCATTTCTCAAAATGCCTTTTATGTCCCACAGCAGAAAGAAAGTCATACA